TCAAAATATTTTTATCTTTAAAACAAGCTATCTTGGGCCAGATTTGGAGGAGATTTGAGGCCAAAACGTGGCTGGGCAGATTATGGGCAGATTCTCCTAATCCAATTTGGATTTTATATCATAGTATTATTTTATTTTAACTTAGTTTCCTTGTGAGGATTGGACAGCTAGATTTTAGGAAGTATTTAAGTTGGTTTTCACAGTAATTTTGGGAGACTTCTTTTTGGCTTTTGAACGTGACATTGTGGAGAGCAATTGCTAGGGTTTTGGAGTTCTTGCGACTTTCAGGTGTTTTCATTCTTATTCATTCAAATGATATTTTCTTGGATTTCAATTATGAATATGCGTAACTAATTTTCTTTTGCTAGGGTGAAGCCTTGAACCTTAGCATGAATATGTAATTTTTATTTAATTGCTTATGAGTGAGCACATGCATACTTTGAATTGTTAATCATTGTTTTAAACTATTTAATTGTCTTAATGCCTGATCACCATTAGGATCTTTAGAAAAGTAATTGGATGCAATTTTAGTCAGAAGGTTTCCTGAAATTGACGTTGGCTTCTTGTGATTAATAATTGTAATTTCACTTAAGATGAACACCACGTCTTAAGGGTTGCATGGTTTTTCAAAGAGTTTTCACAAAACTTAATGAGTCTTTCATGTTCAGATTTGATCTGAACGTCTGGACGGGTTGCATGTTGGATATACGTTATATGTTGGAGGTTCCAAGTAGAATATAAATTAGGAAAACCTAACCTTTAAAGTGGCATGCTCAAATCATAAGTAATTGGTAAAAATTCATAGGATTGCTAGGTGATGGTGAAACCCTAGTGCTGTTATAAATTGGTATTTAAAATTCTTTCCTTCAATCGTAATTGTTTTTGTTTAAAATTTGTTTTTAGTATCAAACAATTTCATAATCATCTTTCTCAAATTTTAATTTTAGGTAGTTAATTGGAACTTGATTTTACATAAATTACTAAATAGTCCTTGAAGAGAACGACCTTGCATGAGTATCTATACTACAATAGCCTTGTATTCTTACAAGTATTTTATGTGATTTTAACCCCATTTGCACAAGTACTAAAATATCCCATCCCATATACCGAGACAGGGGATGTGAGGTTTTATTTACATGTATGTATGTATGTTAACTTATAGGTAGCTAGGGCGATGGAGGAGTGGGCAGTCATAGGTGCACCATGCACAAGCAAACTTTGTGAGGAGGCTCTGAAGTTACGCAGGATCCATAGCTACTGGCATAGTGCGAGCATTCTTGCTTGCAAGCTTGGACACTAGTGCAGTCCCACGTGGTTAAGCACCGAAGAGGCTCGCCTTTGTCTGACCTTCTTCTTCACCTGCCACCACGCCCACCACTCCACTAGCTTCAACTACAAAACTAACAACACACAACACAAATCAAACTCCATTATAAGTATATATGGACCTCCTAGCAGGAAGAAGCAAGCCGTGGTGGTGGCGGTATGAATATGAAGAAGCTTTGCCATTTATTTCCTTCACAAAAGTATATAGGTGGCTTCTTATTCTAATTCTAATTCTGACTCTAAGCATATTTATGGAGTCGTATCAACCTCAATTAGCTTCTATATGTGCCATATGCTGCTGCTGCTGCTGCATTCCTTACTTGATTCCAAACCAATACATATCCAATTTTAGATATATATATATATATATATATACATTTTTTTTTTCCAAATTTACTTGGTAAATTAAAAAAAGGAAGAGATTGTGAAGGTTTGATTGTGCCAAGAGGGATGGACAGTACAATTAACTGGAAATTGTTTCATGTATATTACATGATTTTCCCAATTACCAGGACAAAAAACTGCATTCACCACAAGATTCACATGAGCAGATAAAAAGAAGTTTATTTATTGCCTTTTTTTCTTTGTTATCTTATTTAAGACTTGTTTATATGGTGCCTAATCCTCTTTTATTTTTCTTTTTATTTAATTTTTTTTTCTTAAATGATCTGAATTTGACAGTCCCCTTCAGTTGAGGGATCCCTCAAATAGTGTTATTTGAGGGATGGGGCGCTCAGCCGTTGGATCTCTTTTAATGAACTTGTGTGGCTGTGATTCTTTTAAATGTTTTAACCCGTTTGAAAACTCCTGACCCACCACAAACTCCACTTACGTTTGGGAACGAAACATTCGCTGGAAACCAAACGTCTTTCTTCTTCCTCCAACGCTTGGAGACCTTTCATGCAGACCAAACGACGTGAAGAAGAAGACTCACCATCGTCAGTTGAAGAAGAAGACCCACCATCGTCAATTGAAGAAGAAGACCCACCATCTATGCGACAGAGGTATGTTATCATTGGTTTTGATTCTTTCAATATCTGCGCCATGGTTCTTCGATTTTGGAGTTCTGTGTGCGCGCATGTGTTTATGTTCCATCCCTCCCTAGAACAGTTCGGCTGAGTAAGCGGGTGTATGGCATGCAGAGTAAAAGTCTAAAAAGTTTTATTTGATTATCTGGACTTACATACTCCTACTACGATTGGCTTATAATGTCTAAAAATTTATGTGTGATCCTTTTACTTTAATGTTCAGTTGACCGTTGTTATAGTGCTTGAGACCATATTCATTGTTTTCCATGATGTTGTTGTCTTGGCTGTAATTTTTGGCTTTGTGAAATTTCAATGCTAGGTGCTAGTAGTCCAAGGAAAGGGTGGACAGTATCGAGGGACGGGAGTGTGGAAGCTCCCTACTGGAGTTGTTGATGAGGTGTGTGCATTTCCTACAAGCATTGGTTTTTATTCTCTCAGAGCTTTAGAGTGTAGTGTAGTCTAGTCTAAACCATATATTGAACTTTATCGCCTCCAGGGAGAAGATATCTTTGCAGCTGCTGTTAGAGAAGTCCAAGAAGAAACAGGAGTAAGTAGTTACCAACTTACCATGCAATTACGCGTTCTTTTATTTGAGTTGGTGTAAATATTAGCTAATCAATGCAATTTTCACTTACATCATATATTTGCAGTAGAGTAGGTTTTTCTGTCTTTTTTTTTCTTTTCTTAATCTAGTCTTTTGGATTAAGGGGAAAAAAAAAAAGACAAGAAAACAGAATTTCATACATATAATATATTTTTTATCTACTCTTAATTGATATTTGAGAAGAAAAAACAGAATGTTATATATATATATATATATATATATATATGTGTGTGTCTATGTTTTGTGATTAAAGAGTATCTGTGCATGTTCTTGGTTAAACAGATTTTCTCACCTGCTGTTCAACCATGGAAGCTAATAATGGCATATTACTTCCCATGGAAACTGATCCAGAAACAAATCCTTCTGTATCAATTTTCTATCCTCAAGTAATTGGTGAGTTCACTCCCTTCCAAGGTCAACAATTTGAAACATTAGAAGAAGTGTATGACTTTTACAATCAGTATGCAAGGGAAGCTGGGTTTAGCGTTCGATCCTACTCTAGTAAGAAGAGTAAAGATGGAGAGGTCATACGGAAGGAGTACGTTTGCAATAAAGAGGGAAGTTGGTCAACTGAAACAAGTGGTGTTGTAAAAAGGCGTCGTGGAGTAGGCAGAGAGTCTTGTAAGGCGCGACTAGTAGTTGTTAAATCAAAATATGGCGGATATGTAGTCACCATATTTGAAGAGGCTCATAGTCATCCAATGACAACCCCGCGAAGACGCCACTTATTAAAGTCTCATCGTCGAATTTCTGGTGTTAATCAACTTGTAGCACAACAACTAATATCCGTAAATGTATCCACACACCAACAATATGACATTCTAGCAACACAAGCAGGAGGCATTGAAAATGTTGGTTTTACTCAACAAGATATGTACAACTCCAATAGAGATAGACGTATGAAGATCAAGGGTCATGATGGAGAAATGTTGTTTGATCATTTCATGAATGAGCAAGAAAAAAATCCAGGGTTCATATTCAAGGTTGAGACCAATATTGAACACAAGATTACTCGATGTTTTTGGGCTGATGCAATCTCTAGGCAATCGTACAAGTTTTATGGTGATGCAGTTATCTTCGACACCACCTACAACACCAATCGATATTGTATGATCTTTGCACCAATTATGGGAGTAAACAAATATGGACAAACACACGACAAAAGGAACTGTCCTATGCTTCAAAAATCGTAAGAATGCAAACTTATTTGTATTTTTCCTTTCTTATTATTATGTATTAACCTCATGTGTAACTTTATGATGTTATCTTTGACCATGATAGATCTTCAATTGTTGACAAAGATGCTTTTAATGGCATGGATAATAGTTCTTCGTCACAGGTAATTATAGTGATTTACAGAACTTATATTATTTTGTTGATGAAATGAATAATAGTTCTTCGTCACAGATAAATTTTTATTTCTTTTCCATTTACTTTGTCTTGTCAGGATGATTAGCTTTTTGGATGATGTTTTGAGCTCCAGTGATTCCACCTATTTCTTGGAAGGAGCTAGGACATGGCTAGTAAGGTGTCTGCAACAACACAAGATGTGTGTTCTTTTTGGGTCAAACTCGGATATTGTTCCTTCCACTACAAGGAAGTATTTAAGTTTTTTTTTTTTTTTTCATCATGTACATGTAAAACGAGACTCAATTTTCAAGTGTCAATAAATTGTTCGTAATTATCTGTTCAAATGTTTCTAGACTGCTGTGAAGAGGTTCCTGAAGAATGACATTAGACTTAGCACAAACTGGAAAAAATGAAAATTTGGAGGCATTACAGGTTGCTGCAACCTGCTCACTAAAATCGGAAGCAAGTTAAGTTTTACAATGTGTATATTATAAGATGGCTAACTTCCTTTCACGGCCACACCCCCTTCGTGCAGAAACAAGAAAAGCACAACGGCCAAAAGGAATATTCAATTCAATAGAGAAAAAACAAAAAGAATGGAAAGCAGTACCTATAACTGTTTATCAATGAGAAATTATGCAATGTGAATGGTACGATCATTTTGGAAAATATTAATTAAAAATAAAACTGAATGATATAAACCGTCATATATCAAATGGAACAAGCTTTGAGATAAAGAGGTTGGCCTTGTGTTCAAATAGCCTTTTCACATAGAATTGCTTGAGAGCAGGTGGTCCTTAAATTGATAATTAACTTCAATAAATTGTACAAGTTGGCCCCAAGAACCATCATCTAAGCATAAAAGTTTATATCAAACCCAAAAAGTACTACAAACATGATCACTTGGATGAGAAGTTCCATGACAGCAAAACAAACACCATCAAAGATGTTAAATCCAAAGTACAGCAGATGGTCCAACTTCGAGACTGACATAAACGAACAAGATTACTCCATTAAAAACCTGCAATGCAAGAAAAAAAACGAAAAAGAAAAAATGAGACTAACTCTGTGGAGTGCAGAAAAGTGTATGATCAGATTTTGATCAAATCAAGAATTACCCATTAAAACTTATATCAAGAATTCATCATTAGAACCCAAATCAAGAATTTACCATTAGAACACAAATTAAAAATTGCCAACTTATATCAAGAATTCATCAATGGAACCCAAATCAAGAACTACCCATTAGAACCTATATCCAGAATTAATCATTATAACTGAAATAAAGAATTGCCCATTAGAACTCAAATAAAAACTTATCACAGAATCCCCAAATCAATAACCCATCTCAACCTTGACCAGAAATTGTTAAAATTAAAAACCAATTGCAGAACCCCAATTCGAAAATCACAACCCAGATTTAGAACGAAACATAAACACCGCTATGGATACACCTACCTGATTGGCATAGAATTCTTGCAAGCTCAACTCGCGATGGCAGCTCTTCCTTCGTCTTGGAAGGGAGGGCTCTTCATCTTCTTCGTGCACTCCACAAACTCAGCCATCGTGTTTTATTTTTTCGGATCGCTTGGTTTTATTTTTTCGGGTCAGGAGTTTTCATGGTGGGTCTTCTTCTTCAACTGACGATGATGAGTCTTCTTCTTCACGTCGTTTGGTCTGCGTGAAAGGTCTCCAAGCGTTGGAGGAAGAAGAAAGACGTTTGGTTTCCAGCGTACGTCATTCCCAAACGTAAGTGGAGTTTGTGGTGGGTCAGGAGTTTTCAAACGGGTTAAAACATTTAAAAGAATCACAACCACACAAGTTCATTAAAAGAGATCCAACGGCTGAGCGCCCCATCCCTCAAATAACACTATTTGAGGGATCCCTCAAGTGATGGGGACTGCTGAATTTGATATTAACTGTAAGTTTAAAAGGACACTAGTATCCTACCATAATTTAAAATTAATCTCTATTTCTGAGCTCTTTCCGAAAAGTTGCGCGTATTGGTTGAATAAAAATGTACATAGTCAACAAGTAATTATATATTAAATAATGCAAAAACTATACGAAAGGGGGTATAGATCTTATTGCGTTTAGTGTATCTTAAACACTTGACATACATACTTAAATTTATCATGTCTAGCAAGCAAACCACAGCCGCACCAGCAAAAATCTTATCATGTCTAGCAAGCAAACCATAGCTGCAGATTCCACAACCTTTCAACTTTTTCCCGCAAAGCTACATTTGCCCTCTTCACCATTAAAACAGTCCCATGATGCCACACACAGAGGCTGCTCACCTGGTTCTCGCATACTCTGTTTCGGCTTCCACAACACATACAAACACACATGCAGCAATAATCAGTATCTCTTATGAGAGTCGGACGTCCTAAGAGGGGAATAAAATGTGTTTGCTTAGGAAGAGAGAGAGAATACAAAAACCAAATTAGAACAGTTTTATACAGCCTAGCCTATACATTACAATTGGTATAAGAATGTTACGAAAACAAAGCGTTTAGGCATATCCCAATCGTGAATACGCATGTATTTATCAGCTACCCTATGATAATATGAGTGAATAATAGGAAATTATATATGGACCTGCAGCTGCCAGGAGAACGAGGAAGAAGAAGCAACATGTGGTATGAACTTTGACATTCCTTTGACAAGAATGCATCTTTTCTAGTGTAACTTTTTGGGATCTATTGTTTTCTAATTCTGAGCCTATTAATAGAGTGCCTTCACTGCCTTGCCTTGTTTGCAATTGACAAGCCGTGAATTAGTGTAATGATATATCATATCCATGACATTAGCTTTTAGTACAATTGGTCCATATTCCACAAGAAGCTCATGAGTGAAGAATGCATTGAAATTACAGCTAACCAATTCCCACTCTGTACCTAATTCTTTTTATTGTGCAAATTTAGCATCTTGTATAATCACTGACATTGTAGGAGTGAGCTCCATTAGGTTCGTTTCATATAAAAAATTATATCAGTATGGTCAAAGAAAGATATCATCAAACACAAATGACAATAATTCATTACCTAATTAACACCCATTCAAAATCAATACCCAGGGATCATCAGCTTATACCTGCAAATACAACCTGCTCTCGATTTTGCTCCATGCTTCCAAGCTCTGAATTAACCAATGCTTTCACCAGCGCATAATCTGAAGCCTGGAGGGCAAAAAAAACATTAAAACAGATGTTGAAGCCATCAGGGAAGAGCTCATAATCAAGCTTCAAGCATAAAGAAACAAAAGAAAAAACAAACGTTACTGCATTCAGATTCTAAGTACCAGATTGCCACTAGTAAGGTGGAGATAACTCCTTGACATCAATCCAGGAAGGCCTCTTTGCATTGTAGTAGAAATGCGCTATCATTGGAACCAATTCTTCTGCTGTTCGAATCTCTACAAGAACAAAACAAACTTAATATCATGGCAACATAGGAACAACTTGCAAAAGTATATGATCCATGCTTTGGTTCTAGCTAAAAAAAGCACTGATTTTTTAAGGAAAATAAGTTCTCACCTTTCTCTCTGTACAAGATCCTGTTTCCACGTAGAAACAAAATCTGAGGACATTCTTTAACTTTGAGAGCATAAGCCAAATCTCTCTCAATATTAATGTCTATCTTAACCGACTGTTGAATACAAAAACAGAAATTGGAGGTAAAGTTACAATCTTTAACAACAATCATCCAAAAATCATTGCAAAAAATGAAAATGACGAGTTTGATAACACACACATACCCGAGGAGGCAAGCGATCTTTGGCATCCCAATAGACCTTGACCGCCTTTTCGAGCTCTTTCAAAGCCTTCCAGTTATCGCTTGCTCTGTTGTACCTCTCAAAAACAAGAACCAGAAGCGGACTAGGATGAAATGCAAAGCTTTCCCATTCCAAGCAATTAATCTCCTTCACCCAATTATCTTCAACCTCACCTTCCCAATCAAGCTCAACCCCATTGTCACCCACTACGTTCCTTATCGGGTGATTCTCAAAGTACTCCGAAGCCCTAATCCCCCACCCCACGTCAGCATCCAAAGGCCAATCCCTACTCTCCTCTTCAACCACCATGCTCTTCTCTCTTCCAAAACCCTCATCTTCTTCATCGTCGTCAACTCTCCTCTTCATCACTTCTTCCTTCTTCTCAACAATTTCTGGGTTCTGCTCTCTGATCGATGCAAATGTTCGATCAAGTGACTCCCGCACGTAATCTTCCACCGCCGCCGCCTCGCTTCTACGCCCACGCCGAGGCTTCCTCGGAATCGTCGTCGGGAACGTCTCGCCTTGTTCTTCATCTTCGTCTTCAGAAGTTTCAATTTTTCGGCGGCCAGGTTTCGGTTTCGCGTTGGAGCGAGGTTTAGGATCGGGCTCCGAATCGGATTTTTTCGAGATTGCCAAGCAAGAAAGAGAGTTTAGAGCGCGGGTACGGTGCACAGAGGCGCTCGGCAGTATTGGCGGGAGGCAAGTTTGAAAGCTCAGCATTTTTTGGTGCTTTTTTTCAGTGGCGAATAAGTCTCTGCACCCCAAGTGCTTGTGAAAATGCCACGCCTAATTCCCTTCTTCCCTCTTCTCCTGTAAAGTCTTGATGACGCCTCAGATGTTAAAGTAGTTACATGAAAACGGCCGTGTTTTGTTAACCAATTTCAAGTACTTGCAATTTGGTTTGCTTGCACCACATGAGCAGATGGGACCCACATCTTTGTTGAATAAAGTTGTGAGTCTCATTTATGCCAACGTCGGCTTTTTTAACATATTATTTGACGGATTCGACCGGGAGGGATAATGCGAAAACACAAAATGTTGATATACGGTGCAAAATGAGTCACTTTGTAAGGAGATTAATCATACTTTCAATCAAACTCATTTAAATTCGTAACCCAACAAATAAAGTTAGATGTACAAATCGAAACTCAATACTTACACATTATATGAAAAATATTACCGTCAGTCATACATGGCCGCAGACAAATTCTCTTCTCTTGATGAGGCGGTCACGCGTAATTGAAAACTTGATTTTAGCGTTGATGAGTAAGTAAATGATTAATTTGCTTCCGATTGACATCTCACTTGATAATGATAATGTAACTTAAGTGTGATTAGATGTAAATGTTATTTAGGTGTGGCATCTCTATTATTGGTTAAGGTCGATTTCAATATTTACAGATGTTCTAAATATGATGCTATTGCAAAATAATCAAAGAGTAATTGCTCAGAAAATTTCCCATTTCTATTTTAAATTGAAACGCGATTTTATCAAACATTCATAATGCATGCCTACCTACAAGCCCTGCGAGCACATACACACATTCATACATTTTTGCCCACTACAAAAAAGAAAAAAAAAAAGGGGAAAAAAAAATGTAATTTCCATATTTGAAAGCCAAAATGCCAAAATGCCCAAATGGGTTTCTGCCCTTTTTAGCTCCCATCTGCCTCACAACTGTAAAACGCGAGCGAGCTGAGTTGGGTTGACAATGCCAGCTAGGTGGGCCCCATCCGTTTTCAGTAAATCAGCAACCTCCACGTATCTCTCCAAGTTCTCAAGATGCGGCTCGGCTCCAGAACTCGGCTCGGCTTCATCACCCGAAGGCCCTGGGGCCGGCTCGGCTTTGGATGTGTCCCACGACTGCCCTAGGAGGGTGCCCTTGGTTAGGAACTCGTGGGCCAAATAGCCGGCTAGAAGCTGGGCGGACGAAGCCGGCTCTGGTGGACTGTTGGAGCCGGCTTGAGGCGGTGGGGCCAGCTTGAGCATCTTTGTTGTTGTTGACTGGTGGAGCGCGTCGAAGCCACTCTCCTTCTCTTTGCGCTTGTTGTTATTTGACGCATTGGTCGTCGAAATCCGACGAGGTGGCAAACGCATCGTTTTGGTGTTCATGATGGCTATCTGGGTGCATGCCACGTGCGCAGCAGCAGTTCATGAAACCCACCACAAATCCAACCCAGAAGGAAATTTTTTTATGAAAAAAGGATAAATCTGATAAAACTTGTTTGGTAAGTAGGGAAAAAAGACAAAACAAAACGTCCAAATCGAGGGGTAAAACGGTAAATTAACAGTAAAAAATAAATTAGAAACTGACTGTAGGATGAAAAATCCTAAAAACAAAAGCAGATTCAGGAAAAATCAGGACCCACCCAAAAAAATAAAAAATAAAAAGAGAACGGGAGGGCAAAGGTTTGGGTGGGAGAGAAGAGACCGTACGGACAATTAACCGGAATCTGGAGAAAGATTGTTGCAAAGAAAGAGACAAGAGAGAAAAAGAGAAAGAGGGAGGGGGAGAGAGAGAGAGAGAGAGAGAGAAGGAGAGGAGGAAAAAAAATATGGTATAGAGGAATGGGAGGAGGGGTTGAGTTCTCTGTATTTATAGATGTGGAATTGAACGATTGCCCCTTGTTCTCTAACGAAACTACGAGAATACCCTGATAGATAGAATGACAAATATGCCCCTAAGTTCTTCGGAGGTTAGGGGTTGGCTAGTCCAAAACTAGTTAGATTCCTGTTTAGCCACAATTAATGTTAGTTTGCGTGCCACACCAAAGTTGGTTCATTGTGGCAAATCGATGTGGCAAAAATTCACTTCATCCTTGATAATTCGGATGTATAATAGGATGAACTTTCTAAAATTTAACATTAAACTCATATTTTTTTCACCATTTATATTGAGTTAGATTCCACCCTAAACCAAGGGAGTCCACACTCGATCCTAGTCAGTTTGGAATAATAATAGGTTTCCCATTAGTAATTAAGATAATTTATCATAGTTATAGTCCAAATGGGATATGGACTTGAGATATATTAGCATAAATAACACAAATCTTGAATGGAATGGATTACTATAAAAAAGAAGAATAGACTTATTTCATCAATGAGGATTGGCTTAGTTGGTAAGGATCATTCTCTTCGCTATCAAGGCCTAGGTTCGAGTTTCTACCAATAATCTCTCTTAGTGAGTAATCTGTAAAAATAAAAAAAGAATAGACTTATTTTGAAATTAAAAACATATTTAATTATAATTATATGAAGTTTTTTTTTCCCCTTACTTTTCTGTCATAGACTTATGCAACACGTTTAACTAATACCTCTACCATCAATCATTTGGAACAACTAATCATAGTTGTGGTAAAAGGATGTAAATCTTTTAAATTTTAATGGCATATAACATGAACCCCGAAAAATGAAGGTGGAGTTAACACCTTGTCAAATTTACCTCACGTTCAATAAAACTACTCAACAAATTAATCAAAAGTCAAATTAAACTTGTGCTTAAGAATATATTCGTGTTGTATTCCTATTGTTCAATACTTTACCTTGACAATGAAATTATTTTCTAAGTAATCTATGTTGCTTTATGACGATTCTTGTTGGCATGTAAAACAACTTTATCGTTGGAGCGCAAAATTTTGGGTTATCTAACAAGTAATCTTGTAATTCATGTTGAGAAGCAAGATATCACCCTTTGCTTGTAACCAATAAGTGAGGAGGGGTGTATGCGAAAAAACACTATGATGCTAAGTCAATAGGGATTCAAGAAATTGCAGGAGAATTTAGAAATAATATTGTACATCCCTTTTTTCCTATTGGGATGCTACGTTAATTGGTCTTTTTTTTTTATGAGCAATGGAATCTTGGGCTCCAAATTCTATGTTTCATGGCTTTTTTCATGAGCCACAATCACTCCATCATGGGCATGATAGTAGGTGATCATGCGGGCTTTGTCATGTGGCATGAAACATGCTAGCCTTTGATCTTGGACATATGACATGTTTACCTTTGTAGGCCTTAGCCATCAAGTCCCACTAATTCCATAATTTCATTCATGTATAGTCACTGATAGAAAATAGAAAAATATGTATCTTGATTGCAGCAACTTTCTCAAGTTTAGGATGCTAGTGGATTGATTTCTTGGGAGTAATTTTTGCTCCCACATTTACGAACATACAGAGACATGCTAATTAATCTTAGCGCTACGAATTTTTCCACAAAATATATATCAAGAACATACAACCTTTAAGACATTCTAGATATAAATGAACTTTTATTTCGTTAATAGATATGGTGATTCAAACTTTTGATATGTTCTAATTTTACGGGGGGAAAAAAGTACCACTTTATCAACAACTCATTATTGGATATGTATGAATTTCAAGTGAATCTATTTAACTTGCTAACAAGTTAACAACAATTGATCAAAAGCACGTTTTTAATTCAATTAAGATGTCTTATTCCTTCTTATTTTCCTTCTTTTAAATTCCGCATTGTTTTTTTGAAGCCACATTATTATTTGCGATCGGTCAACTTGAAAAGTTCAGATAAAATAAGACAAATATGTGGAAGAAATCTATCCGTTGTATGCCAAAACAAAAGTTAAGGTGGAGGAACAAGTCAGCACCAATAGATAACTGAGGTGACGATGTATAAAATCTATCTGCACTTGAAAACCATAACTAGATACATCAGAAGACGGTTTGATGTCAATAAATCAAGCAAAGCTCAGCAACCACATCTTCATATGTTTGATCAGTTTCTGATCCGTGATTGTTGATGGTATTATGAAAAGATATTTGGTGGGCAGGATTTGTTCCCCGTTGTATATTTCGTACTCTTATTTAATCATTTGAGTATAAATTTGATTAGGGGTATGGATTTGCAAATCAATAGTCTCAAGTTCGAACTTCATGACATCTTAATAACGTGTGTGAGAAAACCCTCTCTCCATTCATAACTTTGGCAAAATAAAAAGGTACTAATTCCACCCACTTTTTAATACCCCATAAAATGACAAGTGTATAATTTATTGTCGCATAAATGAGGTTGATTTAGTCTTTATGTTTTGTTATGGGAAAAAGTCACTTTGACTCATGTAGTTTGTATAGTTTTCTACTTTGGTTTGGTCTATGTAATTTTAACTTTGGCATATAGTTTAATTATATCACAATTTAAAACACATACAAATTTCTATAAATTTCCATAAAAAAGTTCGTTCAAAATACCCTTCCATGTATGTGCTTATTCCGTCGAAAAATTGAACATGTCTTTGAATTGCGACGTATATTAAATTACAAGAGTCAAATTACTAAAAATGCAGCAAACTATAGAGATGAAGAGTGATTTTTTGTCTTTATTTATTTAGAAAAAGAAATATATATTTTTTAAATTTTTAATTTTTGTAAACCGGAAATATAAGTGCCCGTTTGATAACCATTTCAATTTTAGTTTTTAGTTTTCATTTTTTGTGCTAGAGTAATATAGAAGAAAAAGAAGAAGAATGAGAGTGGAGATGACATTGAGAGGGAAGATGAGAGGAGAGGATGAGAGCAGGAGTGTCTTTGAGATTTTAAGGGCCCTGCGTAAAATGAGTAATGGAGCCTCTTAAAACGACCATATATATTAATAGAAAATTTGCAATTAAAACTCACCAAAAGACAGTCACATTAAATAAAAATTCTCCGACAAATAATTAATGAATTTTCTTGGATCAATAACTATATTATCAAAGTTTTACCTCAATTTGTCTTGATCTTATAATGATGAACTCGTTGATTTGGGAAATTTCTTCAATTATGATTTAGAAAAAGGCAAGGAAAACTCTAAGTATTTGAGAGAGAGAATTGAGCTTGATTCATGAAACTTTCAAAAAAGGCTACATGGCTTATGACAGTGGGGGGAAAAGAAAAATAAACTTGAATGCTATATAAGGGTTGGGCTATGTTATATATTACATTAATATATTATGTATTCAAAAATTTTGTTTTTTGTTTTGTTAATATGACTAGCATGAAATTATTTTTTGGGAGTTTCACTAAAACACCCAAAATGGAGGTTGAAATTATAAAAAAACCCAAGCACTATTTAAACATATAAACACACCCAAAACCCATCATTACACACACTCAAAATCCATTTATAAACACACCCAAAAAGTTGACTTTGGGGTTGATTTTGGGTGTGTTTCTATGTTTAAATAGTGCTTGAGTTTTTTTTATAAATACATGTCTATGATTGAGTTTATTTATAAATTTGTATTATTTTTTTTGGGCCTGCAAAGTTAGTGGCAAAATTTATGTAGTATATGTTATATTATTAATATTATATTAGTATATTAAACTAAACCCAATTTGATATTTTTTATTTAAAAGAAAAACCTAGCATCAATAAAATAATAATATTTCATGCAGTAATATAATATTTTTGGGGCCCTTTTGGAAGTGGGGTCCTGTGTATGTGCTCACTTTACACTCCCTAAGAATCACCACTGGATATAAGAAGCAGGAATAACAAAAATGAAAATAAAAAATAAAAAATGAAATCTATTTCAAATTATTTTTACTTTTAAGTTTTTGTTTTCACTTTTGTTAGTAATTCCTTTCATTCTTCCCTTTCATCCTCTATCTCAATCTCATTCTTACTCACATTCTTACTCTTATTTTCCTCTATACTCTAACACCAAAAAATAAAAACTAAAAACTAAAATTGAAATGGTTATCAAACGACTCAAATTAACGGAAATATGGTAAAAAAAAGGAGAAATAACTGTTGACTTTCGTACAGTGTAGTTAAATACCGTTTTACGCCAACGAAGCGTCTTAAAACGCATTCCACGTGGCGAACAATCAGCCTCAGCCACGGTGGTAAAAGTAAATGAGATGCTACACGCGGCGGGACCCAAAAAGGAATTTCCCAATTCCCGAAAGCCCCAACTTTTTATTTTATTTATTCTGAGTTCCTCAATTTCTTAACCCCTAGAAAATCTTCAAGCTTACGCTTCAATTCAAAATTCCATGCCCTCCTCTCACCCAAATCACCTACTGAAGAAGCAAACAAGGAAAAGAGAAGAAAAGGAAGATTCAAAAGAATCCATCAAAGGAGGGTTTTGTTGGAAATAAAATTGAAGTGATGAGTAATGCATTGCTGTTCATGTCATGTGAGCTCTTAGCCTCTGCTTTTCTGCTTTGCACAAACAAAAGGTGATTGCTTTTGTTTTTCATTGGTTATTTATACAATTTAAGGTTGTTCTGTCAGTTTCTAGGGTTTGGAATTTCCATTTGGCTCTAGTAATTTGTCATGGTTTGTCTTTCTAATTGATGCCATTTGAGGGTTATATGTGGGTGAGGCTGAAATTTGATGATGCTGTTGGACTTTATCAAGTGTGACTGATGGGTTTTTGGGTTTCATAGTTATTGTTTTCTGTGAGTGATAAAGTTAGGGTCTTGGCCTTGAATTTTGGTAAATTTATATCTTTATTATTGAAGAAATTTTCTTCATGTTAATTTTCATTTGTATTCTCTTTTCCAGTGTTAAAATTATGGTTCCCTAAATTTTTTGTTCCATCATATGTACGATTAGTTAGTTGTTGGGTTCTCATAATTACTTATTTTCTAATGCAAAAATTTGAGCGATTGCCTGATTGATCTTTATCTTAATCTGATCATGGTCTAAAAGTTATCACTTAACTGTTGTTATGAGCATGTTCCAATTTCACTCACAAAGGTTCTGAATTACTGTTGGTGGTTGAAGATTTTGGACCACTGTGAAGCATTATGAGGAGGAGTAGAACTGAAAAGGGGAGGAGGGGTAAATCTACGCCGAACTTTGGAAAGGTAATGAAGTGCCTCTGCTCTGGAGAGCAATTAAGAGCAGCAGATGAAATGGTTCCTTCAGAAAATGAATCCATTGCAACCAAGGATCGTACAACAAGTGAGTCTTCATCTCGAGCTGTCGAGGTTACAAAGAAACCACACACTGGCAATATAGAAGAAGCTGAGTCATCTCTGCGTGAGAGTGGTTGCTTGAACTATGAGGTTCGTTTGCTTTAAAAATTGCTTATCTGTTGAACCACCTGTTTTCTTCTTTTCAATTTCAATTTCAATTTTATTTTATATATTTTTTAACTCCCCAGAGGTAAACTAATAAAACTGAAAGGATTTTGATAAATAGACATTAAACTGATTGTTGTCAAACCCAGTTTCCGTTGCCTTTTCATTCTATTATCCATAAATATATGAGTATTTGGTCATAATGATCAGGATTTCCACATAGACCCTTACAAACCCTTCATCTCCATCATCAACAGAGAGGTGAAGTCATTGCAACTTTTGACAAACCTTCCTGGGTCAATGTGTCACTCTGCATAGATTAAGGTTGTTGTTCAGTTCATAAAATAGTCCTACTTTTAGGCCCTTCGCATACTAAAGGCTGTCCATTGACCTTTTAGGGAGAAAACTAGGTATGCCAGGAGGAGGCTATTGAGGATAATTAAATGCAGCCAATAGTGGTTTTGCACACCAAAGCATGTCAGTCAGACTCTCACAATGAAAAGCAGAGTTCTTTGCCTTAGGAGCCTGTCTGAAACAATTCAGTCTTTGTATTGGTGACCCTGGAAGTTGTTTGTGTATTTTAAAGCTTAACATTTGAATTTTCAGGAAGCAAGAGCGTTATTAGGAAGATACGAATATCAGAAAGGAAACATAGAAGCTGCTTTACATGTATTTGAAGGAATAGATATTGCTGCATTGACTCCGAAGATAAAAAATACCCTTGCCAGAGGAGGTGAGCGGCGTAGGAGACGTTCTCAAAGTTTTTCTACCCCGCCAATGTCTATAAATGCTGTAACTTTACTTCTGGAAGCAATACTTCTTAAAGCAAAATCATTGCAGGATCTTGGGAGGTTTAAAGGTACTGTTAATATGCTGGTTTACATATTTTTCATTCTTGCTTGTAGAATCTTGGATTATGTGAGACTGTACATAATTGTAACCTGCACTCATTTATTTTAGTGAGGCGGTTTAGTTTTTGGTCAGTTTACTTTTACTGATAAAAAATTAGTACGCATTAATTTTGTAAGAATATAATAGGCTTTTAAGACATTTTGTAATGATGCCACCATCAAACAAATTCAATTTAAAATCAATGCTCTGTTATGCTTCTTCACCATAATATTGAGTGTTTTACTTGGGATGGGTAAAGAAAAAGAAGGAATTTGTGAGCTTTACCTGATAATCAGAGCATCATCGTGTGGCTTATGTATATCTTCAATCATTCTTGCAGAAGGTGCTCAATCTTGCCAGGTTATTCTGGACGTTGTTGAATCTTCATTACCAGACGGCTTGCCTCAAAACTTTGGTGCTGACTGTAAATTGCAGGAGATTGTAAGTAAGAGTGTTGAGTTGCTCCCAGAATTATGGAAACTTGCTGATTGTCCGCATGAAGCTATCTTGTCCTACCGACGGGCTTTACTCCATCACTGGAACCTTGAGGTAGAAACTACTGCAAAGATTCAGAAGGAGTTTGCTGTTTTTCTTCTTTATAGTGGAGCTGAAGCAAGCCCCCCAAACTTCCGCTCCCAAATGGACAGTTCATTTGTACCCAGAAACAGTTTAGAAGAGGCTATTCTTCTGCTAATGATACTACTAAGAAAAGTGTGTCTTAAAAGAATTCACTGGGATCCATCAATCTTGGATCATCTTTCATTTGCTCTATCTGTATCAGGGGATACCAGGGCTTTAGCTAGTCAAGTTGAAGAATTGCTACCTGGGTTTATGGATCGGAAAGAAATATTCTACAAACTAGCTCTCTGCTACTACGGAGCAGATGAGCATTCAGTTGCTTTAAATCTACTGAGGAGATTGTTGAGTAAAAGCGAGGATCCAATGTGCTTTCCAGCTTTGTTATTGGCATTGAAGATATGTGGGGAAAACCCCAGTCATGCAGAAGAAGGGGTAGGTTTTGCCCTTAGAGCCATTGAAAGTTTGGATGGTAAGTGTGATCATTTGAAAAGTACCGCCGCTTGTTTATTGGGCATATCACTTTCAGCGCATTCTAAATCAGCGGTTGCTGATTATGAGAGAGTGAAAAGACAGGCTGAGGCACTTCAGGCCCTGGAAACTGCAGGGAGAATGACATCAATGAGTGACCCTATTATTCTTTACCATCTCAGTCTAGAATATGCTGAGCAGAGAAAGTTGGATGCTGCAGTTGATTGTGCAAAGCAAATGTTAAAGCTGGAAGGTGGGTCTAATATTAAAAGTTGGTTATTGTTGAGCAGAATACTGTCAGCTCAGAAACGGTTTGTGGATGCTGAAACAATCATAGAGGCTGCTTTGGATCAGTCAGGGAAATGGGAACAAGGTGAATTACTGAGAACCAAAGCGAAACTTCAAATTGCACAGGGTCACTTTAAAAATGCCATTGCAACCTACACTCAACTTCTCGCTTTTCTTCAAGTTCAGAGTAAAAGCTATGGTTATGGGAACAAGCTTCTAAAGGTGCATTATTTGATTACTTTTCCCATTTTTTAAGAACTATTTGAAAAACAAGTTGTGAATGGATGTTTCTTTCATATACCTTTGATACTTGAATTGTTCCACTGCAAGTAATCTTTTGTTGTTTTATTAAATGACAGAGTAATGGAAATTTTTCTGGAAGGTTGGAATTGGAAATATGGCATGATCTGGCATATGTCTACATAAATCTTTCACAATGGAGTGATGCTGAGATTTGTCTTTCCAAAGCTAAAGCCATAAATGCTTACTCTGCTAATAGATGTCATGCCACAGGTAAATTCAGAAACTCACTTGGTTTGTGTGTGTGTCCGTGTGTTTTTTCTTATATCTGTTAATCAGTTCTTTCATGAACTGCTCTGTTTCCCTGTGTACTAACAATTAGATCACTCACCAATTAATAATTGAGAACGAAATATATGTATCCCTCTACATTTGTGTTTTTGGAAACTTCTCCTGGCATAGTGTGTAGTGCTAAAGATGTGGACCTCATCGATTTTGCAGGTGTGCTTTATGAAACGAAGGGCCTCTATAAAGAAGCTCTAAGAGCTTTTTCAGAAGCTTTGGATATTGACCCTTCCCATGTACTGAGCTTAATCTCTACAGCTGTTGTCCTCAGACGGCTTGGTGATCGCTCACACCATTTGTACACTGTTGTCCGAAGCTTTCTGATGAATGCATTAAGTCTTGATAGAACGAACCATTCTGCATGGTATAACCTTGGCCTTCTGTACGAATCCCAGGGCACCCCATCTTCTTCATTAGAGGCTGCGGAATGCTTTGAGGCTGCAGTCTTTCTTGAAGAGTCTGCTCCTGTTGAACCCTTCAGATAGCCACACATACATTCATGCAAACCTTTCTCAACTTCAAAACCATTTCCCGCATACAAAAACATCCATTTTCTGATTTGGTTGAGTTACCATTCTCAGGCTGCGTCATACGGTCGGGATAAAAGTATAGATATATCGAATCCCGCTATACAGTGATGACTGCATCACCCCAATATAGTAACTATTTTATACAATGCCTTTGCTCGTATGGAGATATTTGTTCTCCTATGTAGTCTTAAACTATATTGTTGTAACTTTCTTTATTCTTTTAATACCACCTTTTCATGTAAAGCTATCTACACGGATACCGAGTGGGTTCCTAGTACTTTGATGCCAACAAACGAAAGTACAAGTGAAAAAAGAAGACACTTGGGTTGTATAAAGTAACTTGTATCAAAGTTGTATATTTTCTTTATGTATGCTTATTCACAATAATTATATGATCATATAATTACAACAGAGAAACAATTATTTATGTGCTATTGGGTACAAGAATACATGATTTACAGTCCAAACCTAATTTCATAATCCCTTTTTTAATTTACCAGTCCTCAAGAACATCGAGGAGAGACAGCGCCTTTGTACGCAGGTTTAACATTGTTGCATTTGGCTCTTCCATTTTGCAGTTGAATGTTTTGAAGCACAATGCCTTGACATGGAACACTTTGGCTGCAATTAAATGTTATGGCATCAGTTGAAGCACTTGTCCCTCTTATGTTCTGGTACAACACATGTTTCACTTGAACTGCCGACCTCTGCAATATATTACAAATCAAACAACGAGGGTTGATTAAGTTTCCAATGTAGGACAAATTAATGAAGGGATTAGATACTAATTAATGAAATTAATTACCTGTTGTGTACAATCCTTGCTTTTGTGGTCACAATAATTTTGGTCTATGATGATAGGGTTAGTCACATCATTCATTTCCACATTTTGGAAAACAATGTTGCTTGCACTACCTGAACCTCCCTGCCACGTCTTGATCCTAACTCCATTGGAGGTTCCAGAAATCTTAGCCCCATTCACAAATACTCCTGAAACATGGTCATTTGCATTGTCTTCTCCCAAGCTACCAATACTAATCACATCCCATGGAATCAAAATAATAAAAAATAAAAACCATTAACATTATGTTGATAATATTTATTTCAATTTTGGGTCTTGAAGAAGTTGGAGTTTAGAGTTGGAAATTAACCTGATTCCATGGCCTGGTCCACAAGTTATGTCTGCAGCTTGCACTCTTTGGGACCCGCTTACAATAGAGATGCAATCATCACCTTCAATTCAAACAACATGGTTCAATTAGTTTGAATTGATGATCATACATATGTGTGTATGTGTGCATATATATACAAAAAATCTCTTATATATGCAGACATTTTTCGAACATTATTATGGGCAGACATTCGATAAGAGAATAATTGTATATATATTTCTTTATATATATATACCTGTTCCTATAACAGAGCTTGAGATGGTAATGTTCTTGGTATTTGTGATATGAATTCCATCAGTATTAGGACTATCTTCTGGTGCAGTTACTGTAAGATGGGAAGCTTCAACATTTATACAATTTTGAAATCTAACATGCATTTGTTGTGCGTCTTGGATCTTCAGATTCTTCACCACCAAGTTATTGCACTTGTTGAAGGTCACAGCCTGCACCCAAGGCATGGACATGAACAATTTTTAACTTCAAACTTCATTAATGGCACTAATTATAATAAAAAAAGCACATAAATTTTTTTGATTAGAGGATTGTATACGTACCGTGGGGGCCTGTTCGTTGCAGGGGGGCTGTGAATCAATTGAAGAGATTCTAATTAGTAAGTAAGTCAATTTTACAAGTTTTCATAGTTGAATAGAGCAAATTAATTTAGGGTTTAATTAGTACCTGAGGCTTTCTTTTGCATGAGTTTTTCCACCATATATTTCCATTGCCATTGATGGTTCCAGGACCTACAACTAACAAGCTTTGGACGTTGTCAAAGATAAGCCAATGCGTGACATCTTTGTAGACTGACCGATCATCTGATGCTTCTATGGTTCCATATATCTGAAATTTTCCAAACAAGCAACATTATGCTTATGAAAACATCCAAAATTAATTAAACACATTAATCTCAATTACCTGCATTGTAAGATGAGATTTGCAGGGGCCTGAGAATTCGATCGGCCTAACAAGATAGGTCTTTTGTGGCACCACAAGAACTATGGCTCCATTGAAAGAACAAGCTGCCTTCCACGCCTTCTCAAATGCCTGAACGAACTCAGTATGTACATGAAGAAACAAATTAAACATTACCTTTAACACAAATTCTATTAAAACAAGAGCATAATTATTTGTACCACATTTACTAATCACATTTATTCACGAACTCATGTAAAGAGATAAAATATTATCTTAATGGGTTCCATATGAAACTATCAACTTCTACAATAATTTCTACGAACATTATTTGGTTACATAATTCGCAAAACCAAACAGAGATTGTGACCGCCAAGGTTGTTATTAGTTAATGTGGTCATATTTATCTATATATATATATGTGTGTGGCATTAATTACTATATGAATATTCCAATATTAACAAGCCTATAAGCCTATCATCTATTATATTTATACCCGTGTGTCATCGGCACCATTTCCTTTAGCTCCAAAATTAGCAACGCTAATCGTTTTGACCGAGCTTGATGACTTGCTACCGGCTGCTCTTTCGAGCTTCCTCGAACTGAAGAGCTGAGCTCTTGGCTCGATGAATTCCATGAACTTGACACCTTCAATGGTGTTCATGTATGAAGGATGAGCTCTAGAATTATAGCCAGACTCTTTTACATGGTCAACAGAACTATGAAGTGAGTTGACCTCTTGGAAACCACTACTGTAACATGAAGCAGCACAGAAAGAGACAACAACATAGAACAAGACCAAATGTTTTTGCAGAGCCATTGTTTGATGCATCCTCTTTTGTGTGTGTGGTTTTGGTCGTGTGTAAAAGAGGGACAAAACAATTCAAAAGGCTGGTTTTTTCAGCAAATGCTATGTGATGGGATGTCAGAATGTAGGTTTGTAGGCTATGAATGAATATTGATGTTCAAAGTGATGATTTGAATGTCATAAGGAGGTTTAGGTATTTATAGACAACGAGAGAGAGAGAGAGAATATTGGCTATGGGTTGAGAGGTATGGGGTCTTGGACATTGAGAGATTGAGACGAAATGATCTCTTTGGGCGGACTATGACTTTTGCTCCATGCAGCCTAAGGTGAAAAATAATAATATGTTTGGTACCAGTGCCAAATTAGTGTCGATATTTCGTCTACGGATAATGTTTGAACAAATGTCGACAATATATTATATACTGTAAATTGGTACTCGGTACTAGTTAATTACTCTCTTTTAAATTTATATTATATCAGTATAATTAAATAAACCAAAAAAAAAAAAAAAATCACAATTTTAGGGTTTAAAGATCGGGATTTGTGGTTTAAGATACACATCTTAACCCTAACTTTTCTTTCCCAACTTATAAGACATTTACTCATGCATGTAAAACCATGCAAACGCATGCATGCTTCATCATGCAAAAATATGTGATGGATTGAGCATTCTAGAGCTTGATTGGCTAATGGGTCACGTATCACACTTCCATTTGAAACATTAAATAAAAGATGGACATCCACAATAATATCATGCAGCTGAGGATAAAATTACCAATATTGTACTATATGTTTGTTCGTGACCTCAACAAAACTTGGTTCACTGTATGTGTTAGGGATTTTTGCCCTCTTTTTAAGGTGTTTATCGATAAGTTTAACAGGCACTTTTGCATGTACGTGTTCTCCTCTGCACCTAAAAAGCGTGTGGCTTTAGCATTGCTAGCCTCACAATAGAGCCTTTCAGTTGTCGTCAGATGTTTACTGGCTTGTTGGAATGTTGAGGGATGGGTTTGGATCAATTTGGAATAGAAGACATATTTGCCACAAATTCTTGGCGCTTCTTCTTTCTGCTTTGAGCTTCGAAGTTTCTAGTTCTAACTGGTACATATTTAATCTGCATTTGAGGTTTTAAGTTCGATTTCTTCTTTCTTAATAAGGCTTGTATAAAGGAAAAAAAGTTTGGTCTTACTCTTTGCAGAATTTTGTGAGTCTTTTTAATTCGGCCACATGTCATGATTAGTATTTTGATCAAAATGCAAAAGATTTCCAACCAGGGTTTTATTTGGTTTGTACATTTTAACATCCCACGTACGATTGCCACGTGTCCTGTTAGGTTACAAATTAACAAGCACTAGTAAACATACTTTTAGAAGCGTACTAAAATGGTCATCTTTGAATTGAATTTACTCTTCCTGGCCACGCAATCATAGGTATGAATTAAGCAGAAGAGAATATTTGATTAGGTATTTAACTATCGTAAGTGTTAGCATAACTATCAGGTACGTATATATTTGGCAACTAAATAAGAAAGAAATTGCGTATTGCATGCGATAATTATGCATTTTGTGAATCGTTTGTGAGCATACATTCTTCAAAAGTTAGGCCACATTAAGATTTGGCTTATCGTTAATGAACAATTCAACTGTTATGTTGTTCCAGAATTGTAGCCAAAGAAGATAAATGTTCATTATGTGTTCAAACTTCTATGACGCAAAATTTGTGAGTATTAGGTTGACAAATCCTTTAACGTGAGTCGACCACGTGTCGAAATTTGGCTTCTGTATATAACTAACTGACTTTGCTTTATATGGAACCCACTCTCATAGCCCGACCCGGAAAAGGTTTAATTTGGGCCCTTCCCATACATGGGTTGGGGAGGTTTAGGGCAAAAAAATAATACAAAAATGGGCTTAGAACCCTTGAGTCGGAGTTGGGCCAAAAATGGGTTTGAAATCTTTTTCTTCTTTTCGGGTCTGAATCTGATGTTGATTTGAAAATTTTCTTTTTCTTTTGACAAAAAAGATCCAGTTTATAATATATGGAGGTGGATCAAACGTTTTTTGGAAAAGTGGCAATAGTTTAAATTATATGCAGAGGAGATTTCTCACATATACACAATCAATATATTATAGGAGTTCAAACCTAATATTATTAGTCTGTAAGTCAAAGCCCTTTTTTATTGAAATAGAATCCCATAAAAAGATTAAATTTAAATATAAAATAATCGGTATATTGCCTTGATCAACCGGTGTAACCTACATATTCATATTCATGTGAGTTTGAAATTTAATAGGGTAAAAAGAAAAGAAAAAGACATGATGTAATATTCAGTTTTATTCACGGATTGACCCCACGGTGGTTTTGTCATATTGGAAAAGTATTGGAAAATTGCAAATTGGTCCTTTTGCAGTTGAGGATATATTTAAATACAGTGAGCTGCTTCGTAAATGGTCCAGTGAACAGTGGACAGGCAGTATGGCCAACAGAGACACACAGCAGAGATAGGTATAAAGGGCTCTAGAAGACGACAAAAGTCAGCAGACAAACAAACAGCGTAAGTGTATAAAACGGAGAGATTATACGTTACTTTATACGTATTTTTTTGGCCCTCTTTGAATTGAAACACTTCTTTTGTTCTTTGAGTTCTTGTCCCAACAAATTTCAAAGGGCTTGTTTGACTCTCTGTGTGTGCCTTTTTTACTGTTTGTTGTAAGAGAGAGAGAGAGAGAGAGAGAGAGAGAGAGAGAGCAGGGTCATCATCAGGAGGGTCTTCAGCTGGTGGTGTTGTGAGTGATCAGGGAAGAGAAGAAAAGCAAAAGGAAATGAGAGAAAAGCTAAGTGAGGTTTGTGGAGTTGGAGAAGAAGAAGAAGAAGAAGATGATGATAAGAGCAATGGGATTGCTTCTGGTTTTGTACCCGGGCCTTTGGTTTCTCTTAAGGAACAGATTGATAAAGACAAGGTTCTCTTTGTTCTTCTCTCACCCCCACAATTCTATTTGTCTTTTCATCTATGTTGATTTGAGTCTATTTTACTTTTTCTTAGTTAATGATAGTTTTGTTTGATTGAATCTACGTAATGGGTTATTTAGGTTTTTTCTTGAACCCAAAAAGATGGTGTCTTTGGTAGCTCAGAAAATGCAGGAAAAGAAAGAAAAAGCCTTTTTTTCTGGTCTCATTTTATTAGCTGTCTGAATGTGTGGTGTGGCCCCTGCCATTGCCCGAACATTTGAGATTTTAATCTCAGTTATGTTCAGTTGGGTGATGCATCTGAAATCATTTGAATACAACCTTTTAGTTTTGATATCACAATCAGATCAATCTTATTATATTGATCTAATTCCTGCCAAATTGAAGTTGCATCTATTTAGATTGGTCAGTTTGTGTGAAATTGGAAATCAAACTGTTTGGAGCCTACCAATTTTATTTTGTAGCTACCTGTGCTTAACAGGATGATGAAAGCTTAAGGAGGTGGAAAGAGAAGCTGCTTGGTTGCTTGGAAAACGATTTAAATGGTTTGTCTTCGTCGTCACACTTTTATGCTTGGGTCTTTATTTGACACCTAGTTTGTGATGGTTTTTGCATCTGTTGTCTTATTCTTGCTAAGAGTCTTTCCATTTGATTAGGCCAAATGGAACCTGAAGTCAAATTCCACTGCATCGGAATCATCTCCGATGATTTCGAGGAAATCAGTACTCCCTTGCCTGTTGGTGAAAATCAGATTGACCGTGTCCTGTTTACACTCAAGGAGGGATCTCGATATCAGCTTAAGCTAACATTTAGTGTTCTGCACAACATTGTTTCAGGCCTCACCTACTCCAACACAGTATGGAAAGGAGGGCTCCAAGGTACTAAGACTGTTTGATTGTCTTCTCTAGATGTTTTAAATGCAGTACAGATGGTTGAAAGCATTTTGAAATATGTTAACAACTTGTTAACCTGTTAACATAAATACGTACTGATTTTGCGCAACCAGTTTACTTTTTTCGTTCAACCCACTGGACTAACAAGAGAGAAAGATTGATCCTTTCAATCTATCTTGTTCTAAGTTTAGGTTGTGTAGTCTTAACAATTATACCAATTTTTTCCCTTCCCTTACGTTTCAGTTGATCAGAGCAAAGGAATGTTGGGTACATTTGCTCCTAACAAAGAACCATACGTGCACACCTTGGAAGAGGAGACAACTCCATCTGGGTTGCTGGCAAGGGGCATTTATTCAGCAAAGCTTAAGGTGCGTGGAAGTTAGTACATATTTGCAAGCAGCAAGCTCAATTTTTAATTTTTCAATGGTAACATCTGTAGTAATTGCTTGGGGTCGAAGAGACTATTTGTAGCCATTGCTTCATGTTTGCAAAATGGCTTTCGTCTAGCATTGTTTTCGTCTCTGTGGTAATTACATAATGAGTAGTAACTTGTAAATTTTGTTCGTGTATATACAGAATTATGCCGATTTTTCTGATTGGTTTCTATTTTACAGTTCGAAGATGATGACCAGAGAAGTCACATGGAACTACAATACACCTTCGAGATAAAAAAGGGCAGTTAGCTGACTTTTTTCTGGAAGATCCTGCATTCTTAAATACATTTCTTCCATTTGATCCCCCTATTTTCTTTTATCAGCGAACCACACATCTTTGTTATAGGAATAATTAAGCTTTGCCTTGTAGGTATGATACAAATGTAGATTTGGATTCTCATTGCTTGTTTCCTTGATTTGTACAATCACATGTGTCATGTAAACCTGGGTGTGTTTGTGCCTCTACTTCACTTAAGCTTTTGTCAACTCAGCAAATTTCCACAAGGGTTTCTCAGAATTACATCAATTTAAAAGGCTTCCAGATAGAGTTTGCAGATTTAAAGATACAGAAGATAAATTATTAGTAATAACTTACATACAAAATCAACGAGGACATATTTCAGTGAATCTTGAATATATAGACCGTGTAGTTGAATGCATCTTTTATCCGTTTGCGGCACTAAAGCCTTTACAAGCTATACTTCTTAAGTAAATAAAATACACTTATTGGAAAGAATCTGATAGCAGGCCATGTTAACAATGCATATGCAAAATACTTTGGTGGTGCATCGAAAAGCTACAAGAAAATAATAAGCTACAGCTTGACAGAGTTTGGGAAGGCTAATCAGGGCTAGAAGTGTCTTCCAGTGGCAAAATCGAGCAAAGACAAGGCTGAGGCACCAAGTTAGAGTTCTACCATCAACAAAATCATCAAGCATTCTGAAGATCCGAGATGCTGTCCCGATTCTGCTTGATACGAAAGGGAATTTGCAGTAACTGCTAAAGTTATGTGAATGGTCTGTGCCTCCAACTATCTCAAATATCAGCAAGGGACCTGAAATATCATCAAAATTGCATAGATTATAGTTAAAAAACCATTTCTATGGATATTGGAATGTTTAATCAATGAAAACCTTACATGTCTCAGTATCACTTTCTTGTGTGATCCCATTGTTTCCACAAAATCACAAGGCCATGTAAGGTAAAGCCCAACAAGTGCAGTAGTATTAAGCTTTCAGTAAGAGAAGGAGAAAGGAATACCTCCTAATCTATAAATAATGCGAAAGAAGATTTGCTGAAGAATTCTTCAACCTACAGCTCTGTCCTAAATGAACATCTCCGAAAAGGTATCTGCATCATCAAGGTAAGGTTTTTCTGTTTCTATTTCCTTGAAAAAAAATAAGGAGGGAGGGGTGAAGGAAAATTTAAAACTTTCAGCTAAGATTTATCAGTTGTTTTAAAAGAACAAACCTGTATTCACAGTATTCAGCCCATGCACATCGAGCTTTTCCATAATCCCAATAACAGTCCTCATCCCTCAGAGGTCCACGCTTGGCTGTTGCAGATTTTATATGTCAGCGACACTGCTTAAAGGAGGAAGTTGAGGAGGAGATAGAAGAAGAGAAGAAACATTCACCTTTAGTAACAAATTTTGATGTTGCATCGGGATGGATATCATGCCACATTTGAAGCCACAACTCTCTCATTAGAACTGGGGATCTAACAATGTTCCTATGATTCGCTACATTAAGACAGTGTCAACGTATTGTCTATTTATTTAGAATCTGCTATCATTAATTGTTAATATAAAAAAAAAATTGTAAAAATGAGAAATTGAAGTCTAAGTGAAACAAACCATCGTGTTTAGCTACACAGAATTATATTGTAATAGTCAATGTGATTTATCTAGTCATACTTTAAAGTTATTTCCATGCAGAGAAGTTATGCGTTTGTGAGCACTGGTTGAGACCCACACCTTTATCTATCTCCCAGACTGCTGTCCTTTTTCCTGGTATACTTTCAGAATCTTCATAGTAAGTTATGTACTTGACCCTTGGCAACCTTGTCATGTTGGGCAAAATATCTTCTTCATGATGATGTTCCACATTCAATTCCACTTGTACATCAGAACCATCATGCTCTGACTGCAATTTCAAGAAGAAAAGAAAAATCAAAACTCATATATAATGCCACTTTACTGGTGAAGAAAAACAAACTTAATGATGATCCTTCCATTTTTGTAAAGAGACTGTTGAAATGAGTCATTGTAAACAAGGTCGCGTACTATATATTAAACTGAGAGCCAATACCTGAGGAGCCCTAGTTATGTTGACTTTTGGTCCAAGCCAGTTCTTGCACCAAGAAAGAGAATGGTACGGTACCTGTTAATGATTTGTTTACTAAATGCTGAGTATGATACTCATAATAATACTGAAGCAGGAGAATCTAAACATATTCTATTCTTGAAACCATGCTGGCATGTAATAATTTTGAACTCACAGTCTCATCCCCACTTGAAGCTCCTGGATTTCCTTCAACAAGATTTCCTGACCTGCAAGAATATTATGAAATTATCTACTACAGTTAGTGGTAACATCTCTCTTCTTAGCTTACATGAAATCAACACCTCGTGATTTTTTACCAATTAAGCAAAAATAAGATCTGATAATACATTCCACGCTTGCACATAAACCCACACTCATGCATGCACAGGGTTTACTGATGTAGTCTGGAAATATGAAGAAAACTTACCTTGAGAACAAGGAACCTTCAATCTCATAAATCACATCGGTAATGATCCAATTATCAGGGTAGGGCTTGCCACTCGGTGCAAAATAGTAACCAACCTGTTTTTCCATTGCCAAGATACCAAAACTATCATTCACCACAACACCGTTACCAGCTAAATGTAGAACAGGCACCAACAAATCCCTAGTCATAAGAAAGAGATATCTTAGGATGAATATAATCTAGCAGCTGTTCTTATTGTCACTAAAACTGATTGATAAGTTATTCATAGAGAAATTAACCAAAAATAACATAAATGTTATTGAACTTGTGACAGATATGAAGTAAAATAAATTAGTGTATTTAAAAAAGAATGATGTCTGATTCTGAAGAGTAGTTTTACTTATATTACTCCTTTGAAATTGTTATCACTTACAAACTTCAAGTGACAACAACAAGGTGAACCATGAATTCTAGCACCAAGTGCATTTAATAAGCAAATACCATTTAGTAATCATAAATTAGAATTTTTCAAGTATGGGAAAATACTAAGAAATAAAGCACACAAACATTAAATTTCCAAATTCACCACTGTGATACAGAAACCAAAACAAAAAAAAACCAAGCAATAGTTATTAAAACAAGAACGCCCATAATGTGAAATTGCTTCAGTAATACTAATGACATAGTGAAATATTCTATCCACTACAAGAATGTAAATATACCTCAGTTTTCAAGTCCGTTCCATAGATACAAAAGATATTTTTCAGAGGCGGCCTGTCCCATGGTGAAAGTGGATTTAAAACTGGATCATCATGATATAACCTGAAATACACAGCATCGCAAACACAATCTAGTTGGAAATCTGAACCAGACACAACTTCATCTATGCTTGCAAAAAAATTCAAATTATCGAAATAGAAGTACAAAGTTAAGGGGCAACATGCATAACACAACAACTACCATTAAAGCATCTTTATTCATACAAAATTAGGTAACTACAGTCAAGATGGCTTAATCTTGGACCACCCTGTAAAAGAATTGAAAGAGAAAACTAAAGCAAAATATACACTGGAAAAAGAACAACAATTTTTTATAGGAGAAAATGTCCTTAACCACTAGCATTAAAAGGTGTAATTTAACTTGGGTGATTGGAACACAAACACAACTAACTTAAGAAAGTAAAACGGCTATTGAAGGCAGCATTGATTTGTTGACACAAAGAAAATGAAGTCTGGAAGCTGTAATCAGACTAAGTTCAAAACTAACAGCACGGACAACAGAAGTTGTAATAAAAAGGCATCCAATGTCAGGAAAAAAAAACACACAAAATGGTATTCTTCATGATTATAAACAAACTACCCACGTCTTTAATTGGTGCAAAATCCTCTTGATGTCCGGGTCATAATCCTCTATTGCTTTGAAAAAGGTCCCATCTGATATTTCGCGAGCAGAGAAAGACAATTGGGTAGGGAGTCCACATTCTATGCTAGACAAGTTAGCCTCAGCTATTTCAGTAACCGATGGATAGGCTCCAAATCCTGCCAATATAAGATGCAAAGAGTACATATGAGCATAATAACAACATCTTAACAACAAAACTTGCATGAGGGTTAAGAATTTACCACGGATTGAAGGAATTTCAATATTGATAATATTTGTTGGCCATCCAGAAAAGTTTAACTGAAATTCCCGCTCATCACAGTGATACATGTTATGACCCCTCTTGTCCATGTTTCCCCCAGAGAAATGTTTCCAGTATGTATTCTCTGCCCTACAGTACTTTGAAAATGGCATCATCCATAACGAAGATGCAAATGAATTGACCATCAATCGAGCTGTCCCCTGATAATGTCAAACATTTAAAATATGCACATGTTAGAAACGTCAAACATTTATCATATGCACATGTTAGAACATGAATTCATATCTAAAAGAACCTATCATGAATCTCCACTATTTCAAAAAAGCTAGTGAAAGCCACATTTGCTAGCTCAGTTAGTGAGAAGGTCCAAGTAACCAATGTAATTTAGGTATGAACAATGATATTAACTGATTACCATACCAATTTATATTCTTTGAGTTTTCTGAGCATGATCAAGACAATATCAATTCGAATTTCTAAGTGTATCTGGATATAATGACTGAAAAGATAAAAAGATCACTTTGCCCTCTTTTTCCATAAGAACAAATAGTTAAATACATAAAAAGAAGAACAAAACATATGTTGAACAGTTAAAAGTTAATAAGAAAAAGAAATGAACTATTGTTGAGGAGAGTTATTGAATAAGAAAAAGGAGGTCACCTCAGAAATAGGAAGGCCAAATGTTAATCCAGAAAGTGTTCCTTTGACTGTCTCGATTGCACCAAGAAGTGGAGCTCCTGGATTCAACTCAACAAAATAACTAGATAAATAACATGCACTATTGTAAGCGACAAAACATTCAAGGTAAACAGACTTTGATGCAAACCAATCATACCAACGGCAAAATAGGCATGAATGTGTTCATCCAGCCATTGGATATAATGTTTCGGTGCAATTTCCTGCTTCAACCACTCCAGAAAGTAGCGGAAGACATGATTACCCAGTGAATGGGCAAACACTACTGAGGGGCCTCCACGAAGTTTTAGTGCCGTTTCAAATGTCAATCTGTATTAACACATCAGTATATGAACATAATTGTGACAATAACTCTTCTGGTACAGAATGTATGCTCAATTTGATTGTTGGTTTAGTTCATTAACAACAAATATTAATTCTCAGTTTGCCAAATGGAAGCTGACTGGTAAGGCAAATGTGGTAGTAAATAAGCCATGAGAATTAGATAAAAATACGAACTTTAGCTTGTGAAAGTAAAGGTCTCGCTCCTCAAGCATAGACGGTGACAGCCTCCAGTCATATGGCACAGCAATGATAGCATTCGCCTCAATACCGAATTCGATACACCATTTCACCCATTCTTTCCATACCGAAGAGAGAGGACCTGTTGGAAATGGTTCAAAAGAAAGCAAGAAACTTGAAAAATAACCAAAACCTGAAAAATCAAATTCAAAAGACACACATGAAATTCAGAGACCATGGAAAGTTACCAGTAATGTAGCCAGGATCGAGTTCCGTGATCGCCGAAAGACCGCTATCGGGCCGTGACTTGCACTCAGGGTGATCTGTTTGGTTGTACGGGTCCAGAAGCATGCATTTGAGCCAACAGTTCACAGCAGAGAGAAGCTGCGACGCAAAAACGATATTTAGAAACGCAGACAAAACTCATATTATGCGAAAATCAAAAGCAGAACGAAGCAAAGAGAAGAGAATAGAAGAGACGTACTTTGGTGGTGTCGAGCCAGACCAAATCGAGAGGGTTGAAATCGAGAGGAGAGTAAGGGCAGTCGAGGATCGACCAAGCGCGAAGCTGCGTGGAGGCCAAGCCAGGGATTATGATTCCCGAGAGCTTGGAATAGTCCGTGACGTGGTGGTTGTACGACGGAGCTCGCATTGCCGTTTGGCGGTTTGAAGAGGAAAATGCAAAAGCTACTGTCGTTTTTATGACACCATGTTTTTGGTTGGGAGTTGGAAAGGAAAGACTCTTTTCGGCTATTGGTCCAAAGTCTCTTTCTGTTTCACACCGTTATTCCCTAAACGACGCCGTCCAACCAACTCCGCATCACCAACACGTCGCCGTATCACCTGGTACTGCAACAGAGCCGTTTGCTGAGAGAGAGGAACGAAGAAACCAAAGCGCGCCAATACGAAACGACAAGGAGAGAGCTCCAAAGGCTTGAATTTTCAGAAGCTAACAAAATGACTTCGTTTAAATCCTCCATTGGAGCTTACGTTGTCGTTCGGGCAGTGGAAGACCAGTTTCCATGGAGTCTTCGTCCTCCAGATTCCGATTCAGAGACCTTCCCGAAATGGAGAACTGCACGCAGTCCGATTCCGCCTCCGACTTGTCCTCCGTGTCCAGCGACCTAGACGACGAGTCTGATCTTCAATCCATGACTGGAAAGGTCAGTTCTTTTCGTTAATTTCTTCAGTTGATTAATTAGTTACCTTCTGTTTAGTTTCCGAGAAAGCTCTGAGAAAAAGAAAGGGACAGAGTATTATTAAGTTCTTTGTTTGCTGTTGATTATGTAGGGAATTAAGCATCTTTGTTCAGAGCTCCTCGAGCTAAAGGCTGCATCCAGTGAAGAATTTCACAAACACATATTTTCCAATTATTCGGCCTTTGTTAGGTACTATATACTACGTTTTTTTAAGCATAATTAAAAATGTTATCTTTGATTATATACAGCATTTTTTTCATAAAATTTGAAGTAAATTTAGTTACTTGACCCTAGGGAATTGAGGTGATGGTTTTGTTTTGTAGAATATTTGAAGAAGTAGGGCATGTAGAAAGTGAGCTGATGCAACTGAAAAACCATGTAGTGACCCAAAAGAGGCTAGTGAGTGACCTTGTAGATGGAATATATTTGAAGGTTTTATCAAAGGAGACTATAGACTTGGTTATCGAAGAATCTGGATGTGAGGAGCTGCTTCCCATCAGCAAGTTAGAAGCTCATGCAAATGATGTTTTAGAAACCTTGGACACTCTCTTGTCTGAGAACAGGATAGATGAGGCACTGTCCATCATAGAATTGGAGGATGAGAATCTTCAAAGGTTGCAGTTCGAAGAGGATTGTCCGGTGGATGAGTTGAGATTGTTTAGCTCTGAAGTTTCTGAGAGGAAGGCCATGCTTACACTACAGTTGACAATGGTGGCTGAAAATCGAAGAATAGCTGCCCCGGAGCTTCAAAAGGCACTGGTGGGGCTCTGCAGGCTAGGTGACAGTCACCTTGCAACTCAATTGTTGATCAAGTACTACCATTCACGCATTGCGTCTGGGATACATAAGTTTCAGGCTTCAAAATCATTCTTGCATAGGGTATATATCAGGGAACTCTCTAAGTTTGTATTCTCTATGATTTCTCAAGCAGCAAGAAGTTTTGTGATGTTATATGGGGAAACTTCTCCTTATGCATTGGAACTTGTCCAGTGGGCCCGTCAAGAAACAAAACTGTTTGGTGCTTGTTTTGATAAATATGTTAAGACCATCTCAGAAATAAGTGGTGGATTGTCCACAGCAGTGGAAGCTGTACAGTTTGCAATGTCATTCTGTTCTCTGTTGGAAACTCAGAGATTAGTGCTGCGGCCATACTTGATCAAGCGTATTCGCCCTTGCATGGAAGAGGTTCTACATAAACACCTAGACCACTTTAAGAAAGTAATTGATATCTTTACAGCGACTGATGCTTGGGTTTTGGGTAGATATCTTGTATCAGGAATTATGAATGAAGGTTGTTCTTCCATGGTTGTCGGGCAACAGCCAGAATATTGCTTGCTCACTAACAGCGGCCGGAAGTTTGTAACACTGCTGCAGGTATGTATAATTTTGTCTTTGTATTGATTTTAGACAAAAACCCAGCAAAGCTGCTGGGTGATAGACATGCATTGGGTTTTTGTTTATGAGACTAAAGCTCTTGAATGAGAGACCAAATGTGTATGAAGGGTCATGATAGTTTTTTATATGTGTATATATAAACTATTAATCTTTCTGGTGTGATGCTATTCTTACTTATAACTTGTTTTTTCCCTTCCAGTCTATCACTGTAGATGTCACCCCATTATTTTCCCTTCAAATTGAAGGATCAATCGTTAGTGGACTTATGAACCTCTTCAAAAAGTATATAGACATCCTTGAAAGAGCCATCAACTGTGAAACAGCTGTTGCAGAAACAAATAATTCGAGACTCTATTTGGCCAATTCAGTGCAACAACAGGTTTCTATCTTAGCCAATCTGTCAGCACTAGAGCAACTCTTCTCCAGCATGGTTAGAAGCATCTTCAAGGGTGTTAGTGATGTCAACTCGGAATTAATGAAAATCCATCCAGTTGAGGTTCAAGTGAAGGAACTTGACAGTTGTATTTCGTTCATTCAAGAGGCTTCTTGTCGGCTCAGAGCTCTTTTCTGTGAGCAATTTATATTGAAAATTATGTCTGTCAAAACTAGCTACAAACTCACTCCTGCAAGTAGCGTTGACGGGCCTGGTGAGTCTTCTATGTTTCATGGAGTGATGCCCTCCCTTGCCTTTCAGGTATTTTTGCCAACATAAATGGTAGTTGTAGATGGTTTTTCATGTCACTGCCTCATTCAGCAGTTTTTCTTTTAATTTTCCTCATGCATTAGTCGTTAGACTCTTATTGGTTGATAAAATCTGTAGTTTGTGGACTAGATTTTATGCTGCTTATATGTTGTGATTCTGATGTCTCATCAGGTACTGTTTTTAGAGCTGAGAAAACTGGAAAAACTTTCTGAAGACAATATTTTTGAAGTTGATTGGTTATTGGAGCTATTGAGGGAGCTTATAGAGGCCGTCTTTGTTTGGGTTTCAAATAAAAAAGAGAACTGGGATATCGATGGGGAGAATATGACAGTAGAGCTTCCTCTCAATTTCAAGCAGGTCTGTGGCCCATTTTTTCTTTCGCCTTTCGCTTAGATAAGTGCTAGCAGCCTCGTTGTTATCCATTTTATTACGATGCCTGTTCATTTAATATATATCATTTTGTTTATGTTTCCTGGAGCAGTTTGTTTTGGATGTGCAATTTCTGGTGGAAATCTCAAAGTATGGAGGATACTTCTCCAATAACCCTTTGTTTCTACTAAATCTCATGAAATCAGCCTTACTTTCAGCTGGACTAGATCCAAGAAGGTCTCTCTCTCTCTCTCTCTCTCTCTCTCTCTCTCTCTCTCTCTCTCTCTCGTACTCCATCCTTTTTCATTAAAGGTGGTCCTTTTTTTCACTTGTGCTAGCTGTAAGTTCAACATTTAGCATGTGCTTCTACTGCCATGCTCAAAAGATTGAGTTTTATATTGATCCCTTAGACATTACAGTTTCTTGAATCCTTTTGCGCAGAGATGTCAATGATGATATATGGGCTATAGACTTTGCTGCTGAAACAATCCAAAAGCTGCTGGAGAGTGAGAAAACACTGTTGCCTCTGGACCAAGAGCCTGTCAGTGAACAAGAATCAGAGGACCAATCCAAGTATGCAGCTGACTCTTTTCCAGATGATGCTACTAGTTCTTCCGAGAAGGATGCAGTAGCCACAGACGAGCCAGAAGTTGCCTCTGATGCTGAATCAGAATCATTGAATGCAAAATCACGTGTGAACCAATCCAAGAATTCGGCTGGCTCTTTAGAGGAAAACGTTAGAAGCTCTTTAGAAGATTATGTGGAGCCAGAGGAGGATGCAGTAGCCACACATGATCCAAAAGTTGCCTACAATGCAAAAACAGCATCAGTGGATACAGGACCATGCATGGACCAATCGAAGATTTCAGCTGACTCTTTTCAAGAAGATGTTGGAAACTCATTAGAAGATTATGTGGAGCCAGAGGTGGATGCAGCAGCCACATATAATCCAGAAGTTGCCTATAATGCTGAATCAGCCTCACTGAATGCAGAACCATGCATGGACCAGTCCAAGAATGCAGCTGACTCTTTTCAGGAAGATGTTAGAAATTCTTTAGAGGATGCAGTGGCCACATATGATCCAGAACTGATGTTGTAAGTCCTTCAGATGATTATACACAATCGAAGGAGGATGTGATAGCCGTAGACAATGCAGAAGTTGCCCTTAATGAAGAAACAGCATCATTGATTACATAATCTTGTCCTCAAGGAGGGTCTTGTGGTGTCGTAGAATTGGATTGGAATTCCAGTGACAGAGGTGCTATAGATTTGACAGACACTTCCATAGAATCTCAAACTACTGGCTCTGAAAATTTGTCCAACAAGGCAGTTGATATATCACATAGCATTGAAGAAACTAATGTACCATCAACATAGTTGGCGGTAAATAACATCGGTGAGGCCGTGGAGATGGTCTCTGTTGAGGAGGGGAATGACAGTCCATCTGATGTCCCAAGTTTGTGATGAACAATCTATAGAGATGGTGAAACTGTGGAATTTTCAGGGATTGAATTTAATTCTGAGGAAAACTCTGTTAGACTGCAATAGCAAAATGAAAGAGGTGACATGATGATCATGGCTCCTTCAGTTTAAAATCTGAGGAAATATGAAAATTAAATAAGAACTAATGTACCAATGAGATTATTTCACGAACCTCTAAGAACATGCATTTTGTTTTTTCTTTTATCATTTTTTCACAATTGTAATTTTCTTTTACAATTTTTTATATTGTAATTGAAGAGAGTTTAATATAAAAAAATACAATCGTAAAAGGCCTTATGCCTTTATTATATTAACCCACAATCTTTAAATTTGAAATAACCCAAGAAAGGGAAAATAAAAAATAAGAGGGAGACGCAGGCGGGAGTCTCCAAAACCGAAAATGGAAAATGCGCGCGAGTGGAAACGTCAGCGTTCTAATCAAAACAATCACCCGCCCATTTCTTATTTCTCAGAACAAATCACGGTGTCCACGTGTCCCTCACACTCCAACACACCAAGCGAAAAGACCCCCATATTAATACTCCATGCCCTCCTCCTCCACCGCTGAAACCTTTATGCACTCTTTGTTCTCTTCATCTGTTCGGTTTCCAGAGCCAAGCTTCAATGGCGGATTCTAAGTGTAGTGACAGTTCTACCAGGTCGATGATGAATCCGTGGGTTCTTCATTTTCAGAAACTGGGTCTCGAGCTCAAGTGTTCGCTCTGGTTTGTTTCGCTTGCTAAATTTATTTTCTTTTTATTTTATTTTTTCGGTATTTTTTGTTTTGGTTTTATGAGAAACAAACAGGGTTTATCTGACATGGGTTTTTCTGCTTTTGTGTTGTTCTTGTTGTCTGCAGCTTGAGTTTGCTTCATCGGCCAACATTGCTTCCATGCAATCACATTTTCTGCAAGTGCGTCTTCTTCTTCAACTTTTTCCTTTTCCTAATCTCCTTGTTCGGTTACTTTGTATCTCAAGATTCTTAATTTGACGTTGTATTTTGAATTAATTGCAGTTCCTGCATACCCAATTTTACGCATTTTGGAAAAGAGTGCCCTTTGTGTAAAGTTCAAGTTGCGGATCGAGGTATAGTTGTTCATTGCCCTTAATTAGGGTTTTATGATGGGAGATGGTACTTTTAGTGAAAAAGTTAGTTTCTTTGGCTGAAAAAATTATTGTATGAACTCTAAAAAATAATCTATCTAATTAATTTTCTATCTGATGCAATGGTTTTGTGGGCTGGCAGATCTCAGGCCTGCGCCTTTCATGGAAAACATAGTAGCAATCTACAAAAGCTTGGATGCGTCTTTCTGTGCCAACTTGTTGCAGCCCATTTCTTCTGGTACAACCTTTATGTAAAAATACACTTATTTAGATACTACTTTGGAGCTTCTCACCCACTGCTCTTTGTTTTAAAGCTTTGTCAGGCGATAATATTTTAGCTGTATGTGTCAATTGCTGCAGATGTTAGGACAGTTTCGCCTAATATCAGTTTTGCTGGGAAAATGGCTAAAGAATCATTTGACAATGGCCAAGGGGGTAATTCAAACAGTGGGCAATCCATCTATTCATCAGGTGCTAATGAACGAGTTTGGGTTCCATGTAGTCTGAATCGTTCTGTTGCAGATGTAGTTGACACGAATTGCAAAGTAGATAAGTGTGTCATGCCAATAGATGGATTTAATGGAGTGGGAAATCCCAATTCGCCTCCAAGCTCTCAAATAAGAGCTGGGGGACTTGAAGAATGTATGACCATAGAAAGAGACATGAATCAGGTAGCGCAGTCATTGCCAGACAGTCCTCCTTCATTTGGTGATACCAAATGTTCAGATAATGATAGCTCTGATCGTCACCGTGAGCAAGTAAGATTTTTATAGTTTCTTGATTTACTAATGCCTTTTGTTGTTTTCTTCAAGTTACAAAAGTGCAAAATTAGCATTCACCTTTGGTATCTTACCCATGTCATGCAAGCTCGATGAAATAAAATCATGTGTGAGAAATCTATGAAGTAAATATAAATATTTTATTTTGACAGAAATTTGAAAATTCCATGGTTGAATAGAAATTGTGCGATGCATGAGTGTCTACGCGTATATGAACTCTTTTTTATTTTTTTCATTTCAAAGCTAGTTTTATTGATATATTATTATGTTCTACAGTTATACTAATGTCTTATTATTGTGATTATTTATATCCTCTACTTTTATGTGATTCTTTTTTCAGATTTCAGAAAGTTCTTTGGTCAGGAAATCTATCAGTGAAATTGATGATAGTAGAACAGGTCTGAAGAGGCATGATAGTTCTGCAACTGAAAATGATGGTCATTTGAGGGACCTCAAAAGACAAAAGAATCTGAACTTTGAGCCAGTTTCAACTACTAATTCTGAGCTGGAACATGGATTCAGGACATCTTCTAATACCATTTGTGCATTTTGCCAGTCTTCCACAATCTCAGAGGTTAGTTACTCGTACATGGTTTAATTAATCTTAGTGCCATTTTGTATACATGGTAAAGTGTAATTCAATTGAATTGATGAAATCTTTCAGGTTACAGGGCCAATCCTGCATTATGCTAATGAGAAATTGGTAGTGGGAGATGAGGCAGCTGTTTCAAATGCCATACCTGTTCACAGAATATGCATTGATTGGTATGTTCAAGCAGTAATATGTCAATTTTTTTTTTGTCCACCATAGTTAGTAAATATGTGTATGTTTTCTTTTTCTGAAAACATAATAATGTCTTCTATACACTTTCGGTTATACACGAAAGTGTATGTATTTCTAAAGATGAATATATAGTGAACATATTTTGGATTTTAAATTGCAGGGCACCACAAGTGTATTTTGTTGGTGAAGCTGTTAAGAAGTTGAAAGCGGAAGTGGCAAGGGGTGCAAAGCTTAAATGCAGCAAATGTGGGCTAAAGGGAGCAGCATTGGGATGCTTTGTGAAGTCATGCCGGAGAAGCTATCATGTTACCTGTGCAATTGGAATTTCTAAATGTCGTTGGGACAGGGTATGTATCATTTGCTTTTTTATGGAGTAGCATGTTCAATGTGTTAACTGTGGTCCTTTTGTTTAGTATCTATCGTCTTAAGATTTTATTTTTATCTTTACATTTTTGCCCAAGTCCATTAAGCCTTAAATAATGGTTAATGGTTTTTTGACATCTTACAGGAAAACTTTCTGCTGCTCTGTCCAGCTCATTGTTCTGTTAAATTTCCCAGTGAGAAGTCAAATTCTGAGAATCCCAAGTATGACATCGTTCTTTTTGCTCTTTTGATGCTCAAATGATTAGTTGAAGCAGAATTCTTATGTTTTGGTCCCTTTTATTTTTTAATTATTAGCTCTTCAAGATGCTTAATTTACTTATAAGCCCTAAGTCCTTACAAAAGGCTTGTAAAATGTTTCTTTCTTAGTTACATTGTCAATGTTTAATCGAATGTCAAATTTTCTGCCATGCAGAATATGTCCACTGTCCAACAGTTGGGTAGCTTCAAATGGAGCAAAAGAATGGATTTTATGCCCTTCTGGTTTGTCTTCTGAAGAGAAGGTTAGTTTGAAAGGAATTGCTCATGTTATTAGCCACTTGGCTCCATGTTGTTATTAAGACATGATGGAAAGTAATCTTGAGTGTCTCAAAACTTGGTAGAGCTTATCTCTGCAATGATATTGATCCTTTCTTTGTTTACCTAGGACCTGTTGTGGTCAAATTACTAATTTGATAACATTATGTTTTGCAATCTATTTAGACTTATCCTTGGATAAAATTTATAATAATGTTATAAGGTGAATTGTGAATCCTACCAATAGTAATCAATCTGCAATGCCAATTTTCTTTTTATGTGATCAGGAAGATCATGTTCTATTGTATAAACTAAATGTCTTGGTTGCTGTATGAGCAACTTGTATGTTTTCTCTGAATGGTGCAGCTTCTTTTGATCAAGTTTGCCAAGATGAATGGTGGAACTGTGTCCAAGATCTGGAGACCAGATGTTACACATGTAATTGCAGCCGTGGATGAGGATGGTGCATATGTCCGGACTTTAAAAACCTGCATGGCCATTTTGGCTGGAAGATGGATTCTGAAAATTGACTGTAAGCTTCAATTGCATTTTCTATGGATGTGCTTGAAAGATCTTTCGTGCATTTTTCTGACAGGTCTTTTAGTTAATGTGTTATTTATCATATGGTGTGCGCTTTTTATTCATTTTAAATGTCTAATTACATAGAAAATGGGTGCAGGGGTAAAAGCATGCATGGAAGCCATGCATCATGTAGATGAAGAACCTTATGAAGTTAGTCTCGATAACTATGGGTGTCATGATGGCCCAAAAACTGGCAGGCTTCGGGCATCAAACAAGGTAAGTTCCTCCAAGAAAACTTTGTGAAAATGCATAAACTCTAGTTTACTTTCCAATAATTGCCCTCCAACTGAAATATCTGCCAATAACTTTAGAACCAATTATGCAAATCTTCTTAGAACTCTATTTTGATTTGAGTTATTGGATTATTTCCTTTGCAGGATCCAAAGCTCTTCAATGGTTTGAGTTTCTATTTTGCTGGTGATTTTGTATTGGATAGACAGGAAGATCTTGAAGATTTGATCATAGCCGCAG